TTTATAAAGAGAAGGATGATTACACAATACTTAAATGACTATGTTTAGAAGAACCCTGTTTTTGATGGTGGCATGGCATATGAGTCCTACTTTCGCTTAAGATATAAATTAAGCAATATTTTCATAGATGCATAGGTGTAGCTGGCAAATGCTACAGCATGGAACCTTTAATTTCCTGGGATAATATTTCATAAAGTAAGCCAATGGGGATTAATTTTATTTCTAAACTCTGTGATGATATATACATTATGGTGTGGCACTATGGGAATCTATTTAAGGTCCTGTTTTGTGTAATACCCCTCTCCCCCCCCCCAATCCACACTTCAAATAAAATTCTTGTTTGTTTCAAAATTGTTATTTTAGTGTTGGGGCAGAAGTAGAATCGGAAGTGATTAGACAAAGGATTCCTGAATTATGCCACACTACGGAGGCATTTGACTGAGTTCCAGAGCCCTCAGTATTTCCTTTTCCCCCTTGTAAGAAAGCAGCAGACACAAGGCGGGAATTGAATCAGACTTGCTGAGATTCAATCTCCCTTTAGTTGACTAAAGTCAAATTCCAAGTGCTCTTACTCTTGTTGCTGGTAACATCACCATGGAACATAAGTTCTAGTGAACTCAGCATGGGGTGTTAAAGACTAGGCTAGAGATTTCCTTCATATCCAGACAAAACACGGTGGCTAATCTCAAGACCTCAGGAATGTAAATCCTTACCACAGCCCCCGCTGTGATACCTTTCTTATACAGAAGATTGCCTTGCTCTGTGAGTAAATCCATGGAGATGACTAGGAATGCTGGTAGAGTCAAGAACTACCCAGTGTGGATGGGAGCATTGCATTGTGGCCCTAGGAAGGCTTGTCCATAGAATAAAAGACTGTGTGTGGGTATGAAATCTGAGGAGTCCACATGCCTCCTAATGGATGTGAATAGTCTTCAACAGTAGCTGGGAAATAGGGAATGACAGCCTAGAAGGTAATTCTTCCTCAAAGTCCCACAGTTAGGGATGGTGCTGAAGGGGCATTGTGAGCCACCCAGTGTACAGCACATTCATCTGGCTGAGAGTTTTAAAATGGTGTTGTCAGCCAAGGGGATTCTTAGCCATCCAGAGCATGGGACAGTCCAACCCACCCTCCAAAAGTTTATTTTCCATTGTAGAGCAAATAGAAGGTCCCAGGATCCAGGGCCCCTTCACTCCCCTTCTCCACCTCACAGCAGCTACATGGGGGCAGTCACAGCATCTGGGTTGCAACAAGCTCTTTAGCTACAGTGTAATGGCGCTCAGGGATGGAGATTCATGGGGTTGCCACTTCCACCCTCTTGTAGCCCTTTAGCCTACTCTTGCTGCAGAGCTGGCGTGTAACTGGGGGCGTGTCTACACAAGATTCTTCAAGGCAAATTAGCCTAAATTTAAGGTGTGTTAGGGTATGTGTCTAGACATGCACACCCTTAATGAACTTTAAAAATGGTGATTTGGGGCTAAATTTGATACCTATAAATGCAGGTATCAAATTCAGGCACGAATAGTAAGGTGAATTAATGCATGTGTAGACATGTTAAAGTGTATTAACTCTGTGTGTGTGGACTGACTGAGACTGACTGGGGACTACAGTCCACACACAGAGCATTAATGATTTTTAATGCCTGCACTTGTAGTAGCCTGCCTAAACCCGCTTAATGCACATTAAGCTAATGTGCATTAAATTTAGGCATGCTAAAATGCATGTGTAGACATGCCCTAGGTATGTAAACAGTGTTGATACACAGAATTAGCAGAAGAATGCAGATTAGCAGTAGCTAGCCTCTTCTAACCTAGGGCCTAATCCAGTACCTCATCAAGTCAGTGGAAAAACAGCGACTGATCTCAGTAAGCTTGAGTTGGATCCTTATGTCATTCCATCAGCAGAGCTCTAAGGGGCATCATTGCTGGGACTGGCAGCTTTGAGTACATATGCTCAGCACCTCAGATGATGAGGCTTCTTTTCTTCTAGGTGCTGTCAAGTGGTTTTAAGGGCCTACCCTAGCCCCTCTTGCCCCTCCTTCCTGGATGGAAACATTTGGTCTTTGTCTTTCTGAGTAATACTTCATGAACGATATCATGTACAGCATGACACCTAAGACCAGCGATAATATTCAAGTTGCACCCTGGCACAATGAGGTCAATTGGATTTTCTATTTCTTTAGCTTGGGTTAACCTAACAAGGAAACATCAAAGCTAGCCTGTTTATATGATTGTCATTGTGTTGACAGTTTCCAGCTGAGCCAGAGTGGGGAAAGAACATTTCGCAGTAGCCATACTCACATGCACAATAGTAAATCTCCCTGCAATTAGTGAATGTTACGAAACTGGCTCACATGGAGGCAGTTTTCCAGTGACTGTGCAATTAGAAGTGGCAGACACTTCATCACATTTCTAAGTGTAGGCAGTGACCTGCACAACAGACTGACAGGGTAAATGAGTGCTCAGAGCTCACAGGTGCCCGAACCCCAGCGACACATTTCTCTCCTTGTGCTAACTCCATAGTTCACTAAGAACTTGCTCTAAGGAGTTTCAGCTGGATATCCCCTCCCTCCCACTCCCCATGTCTCATCCAGTCATGTCACTGTTTTCCAGGAAGTGTAAGGATTTCTATCTGATGACATTATTGTCCAAGAGCTATAAAGCTACAGTTGTGACTTTTTCTTCTCTTTCCATTTTCAGCTGTTCCATGTGCAATTTCAGGTTTTGGTATGCTGATCTGTTTCACAACTCAAGCAACGGATGCTGAAGAGTTTTGCTTGCATAGTATACTCCAGTTAGCTATGGTATAGATAATTCTTCAGCTCCTTGGTACTAGTGTCAACAAGCCTGCTGTAAATCTTCTGAGGACTACACCATTTGGTCTTGGACACTTCCAGTTCCTGTGGAAAGCTGATCAAGTTCAGAAATGGCCTATGGGGTGTTCTGCTCCATCTGTCTACCACCATCTTTGCTAAGATGACCATGAATAGCAGATCTTCCATTTGTATCTTCCAGGAAGCTCCTTGCCTGCTCCATGTTCATCCTTTTTTGTTTTGTTTACCTGTGACCTGAATATCTCAGCACCATAAAGTTCTCTAAGGGCTTTCCTCTACCTCATACCCTCAACTTCAGTGAACCATGTTCTAATTTGTTCCCCCTAAATGGTAAAGAGTGATCAGTAAACTCCCTTCTATGCTGCAGAGCAAGTTATCCATCTGTAATTTGAGGGTGCTCAAAAAAAATCCTATTTCTTTATAGTTCCTAAAGGGGACATAGTACAGACTCAGTGGATTCATCTACACATGCATTAGTGTGCCATAGTTACTGCACGTTAAATTTAGCACTTGTAATAGCAGGTACTAACTTAATGCCGAGTAACTGGTGCTGCTGCACAGTACTGTCGGCACATGCCTTTAAAGTGATGCTAATGCGCAGTAGACTAATTCTACTGTACATTAATGTGATAGCACAGCTTTTGTCTTCAAATGCTGATGCACAGTAGGATTAATTTACTGCATGTTTAGGATCTCATGTAGATGCGCCCAGTCTGATGCAATGGTACTCAATATTTTTAGACTCAAGGCACCCTTCATTTGGCTCAAGGTATCCCTCCATACTTTTGTGAACTGAGCAGCACCCCATTTAAAAAATGAACTTAATTACATTGCTTGCCTTCTTGCAGAGGGTCTAGGCAATGGGGGACAGGGAATGGTCAGGCAGGGATATGCCTCAGCCTGCACTTATCTGTTTATCTCCTCACACTTTGTGGCATCCTCCAAAGGATCTCATGGCACCCCATGGTGCCTTGGGACCCTGATTGGGAATCACTGGTTTAGTGCCCTTGTGTAGCTCATATGGGCCTAACCCAGCTTCTGTTGAAGACAGTAGAGAGAGAGAGAGAGAGAGAGAGAGAGAGAGAGAGACTTTCAAAGACTGAAAAGGAAACTAGATCAGGCCTTTAGTCACTGAGTATGAGATTTCCAAAGTTATTTCAGGGCTGAACATGGGAGGCATTGGGCGCGGGGGGCTTGTGGGGCCTATAGCCACCCCAAAATTCACCTTACTGCCCCATATCTACCCTTCCCAGCGCTGCCCCTATCTAAGCCCCCTGCCTCTCCCTGGGCCGCTGCTTTCTGCCCTGCACAGCTGAGCCTGCCCCACTCCTGCCTGCATCTTGTAGGGGTGCAGCACTCCCGACCTGGCCTGGCCTGGCCCAGCTTATGGGGCCCATGTTCCTCCCCCGCAACAATTTTCTGTCTAGTGTCTATCCCACATCAGCCCTTTCACCTGGAAAAGGCTGGCACTGCCCCTGGGACTGAAAGATGAAGACAGGTACCCAGTGGAAATTTAGGGGTGGATGGATACCTAACTCCTATTGGTTTCAATGGCAGTTAAGTGCCAAACCTGCTCAGACCCCTTTGAATATCCTGTGAGGCTATCCTCCTGCATCTTCTAGCCCTTAAATACCTTGGATAATCTGTCTCCAATTCTGCAGCACTTGAAGACAGATGCTTTTCAAGCTAACAATGGCAAAGTTTCCAAGAAGAAGGTTCATTTTCTTTTATTACTTATCCCTTGAAGTGTCCCATAGAGAGATGTGCAGGGAGTTCACACCTTTCTTCCAGCTATTATGTCAGGCTTTCTAAAAGTCCTGCTCATAACCTTATGGGCTAATAGCAGCAAGTTATCATTTCTTTTACCTTCTGACTTAACTGATACCAGGGGAAGTTGCTTGCATTTTTGAAAGTCAGATCACTTATTTAGATTACCTAAATAAATAATTATTTTCCCTGGCACTCAGATAAGGAAGTTTGTTGTCCTATTAAGGCACTCATGCCTGAGGATTTGACTCCCCTATTCAAAAATCATAAGTCAAGCTTCAAAACTGGTTTAAACACAAGGTTAAAACCCACTCTAAATAAAGGACTCTTTCCTTTACCCCTGTGTTTTGAGCCGTCAGAATTCACTCCAGTGACATTTTCCAAGATTTTCTTTACAACCACACAGACTCGAAATTTTCTTTTTAATGGAAGTCAAGATGTTTATGTGATCACAGGACTCTTAAGACTTTAAGGAATATATCCCATATTGCAAGACTCAGCAGATTTGTAAACACTTTGACTTGTGGTTTTAGACATATGTTTTTCATTGTTCGGTATTAAACTAGTAAACAAGGGGTTAATAAATTCTGGTGAGATTTTGTACATGGGCTAAACTGATGTGCAGGGTCACTGGGAGGTGAAAGTTGTTTACAGCTGCTCCGCATCCTGCCCTCTTACACTAGTTAGAACTAGTTCCTGTGCCTTTCGCAAGATAGTCTGTTTTTGTCTTCTGCTAGACGGAGCTCTCCTGGTACAGGCAGCCCTGCTCTTGGGATCTCCAACTTCTTTTGATCTTCCTAATCTTGTCCTGAACAGAGCTTTCACTGCTGCCCCAACCTCCTACTTCTGCCTCTGTAGAGGGAAAGGACTGGTCCCAAAAGGAGCCAGCAGCAAAGGATGGAGAACCGTGTACACAGTCAAAGGATGGAGAGACCTAAGCTGTGGAATTCACATCCAGGCCTAATGTTCATAGGGCCAAATACTGCCCCCAGATGTACAGATGTTGCTCCTTTTTACTTTAATGAGCACTGCTTTTGTGCAGTCAGAGTGACAATTTGCCCTTAAATATTTGGGTTAGAAGGTAGAAAGTGCAGGGAATCCATCTTTCATTCCAAGAGCTGCAGCAGGGAGAGGGTTAGATGTGTTATTTTTCTGAAACAAATAACATACACACACATATACACATGCAGTCCTGTGTACCTACCCCCACCCCCTGCAAATACATGGTAAAATTCCCTGCTCTACTAGTCTTTTTTTCACAGGTATAACTCAAATAACTCAATGTGTATGTCATGCCAAACAGTCCATTTTCCTCTCTTTATTATAGCTACTTAGAATGACTCTTATGAATGAAATGGAGTTACACTGCTGTCGCGAAGCAGTCATGCCGAGGGGGCCTAAATGCCCTTGAGCCAGCAGAACTCACTGGCATCCACTAACCACCTCATATGCTATTTCTGTTTAAATAACATGCACTTGTATGTTGCTTCTTCATCAAAGTGTAAACCTCTAGCGAAGGGAACAAGCTGTGTACTAGCCTCTGGGATATTTCCTGTCTTCCAGTTCTACAATGACGGCAATGAGAACAGTGACCTCTTTGGAACACATTTCCAATGGATGTGATCTAATGGGACAGCCATAAAGACATGAAAGTAAAGAACTGTGTCAGCAGACGTGCAAGAGCCATGTGTATTAGAAAAGAAACAGGAATGTTACCAGACATGGAGAGGAACTTCCCACAGTCTATCTGCACATTCCCATTCAGAGAGATAAGGCCTGAGGGCTTTTTAATTAGTAGTGGTTAATAGGCAAGCTAGTTAAGCGGAGCATCCACCTTGCACAACACTCTAGAAAGTCCAGGCCTCCTCCCGAAAGAGTATCAGTGTTGGCTCTCCCCACCTTACCATTGAACATTGTTGACAATAGCAGATTCATTGTAATTAGAAGTGTGCTAACTAGGGTGAGTAATTCAGAACCAATTCAAGCACCCAACTCTCTCCAGCTGCTATTAAAGTTTATGGCTTGGGCAATCAGCTGCAATGGGCCCTAATTTCTAATTGAATCCACTGCTCCCTACACGTGAGATGTAAACAAATTAGATAAAAACATGCGCACTGATGATCCTCCTAGGGATCCATAGTCTTCTTGGGTCTCACTAAAGACCTCATCCACCATGCCCTGCTGAAGTCAATGGGGAATGTTGCTGTTGGCTTCAGAAGTCCCCAGGGTCTTTCCTGTTTAGTAAGAGAAATCCCCTCAGCTTTACTCCAAACAACTTGGTTAAGAATCTGGTTCACGTTTTTCATAGTCTGCTGGAGAGGAGAACATTTAAGCATGCAGCCTGTGTGGTAGTGATGAGAGTGTATGCAGCCTATCCAGAATGACTGGGAGTGGGAGCATTGGTATGAAAGTAGCTAGACCAAGCTGAGAAGTTGCTTCCCCTTGCTCAGCCAATCTCAGTTTTTCTCTCATTGAGCAAGAGGATTTCTGGTCTTGCCAAAACTGCATCAGAAGCAAACTGAAAGATGAAGTCCAGGAGCAAATAATGATGACTTTGAAGATGAGTTGGAGGGGGAAGGGTGGAATGAATGGTGAATGAAATTGCAGCTCCACTTGAGGCTGATCACAGAATTCCCATTGACTTTAATGGGGACCAGCTTTCACCCTCCACTTCCCAATCAGCTGGTAGGGCATCAGAACCATGGAAAGAACCAAGTTCTGTGGTGAAACATTGACCACACTTCACTTCTGGTTCTTGTCTGGCTATTTGTATTTATTGCCTTTAGGAGTAGAACTATCTCTGGGGGTGGCCAGAAGCTCGCTAAATACCTGAAAGGCAATTATAGAGAGGAAGGAGATAATCTCTGTGACCATTGGGGACAGGACTAAGAGAAATGACCTCAAGCTGCAGCAGAAGAAATTTAGGTTGGAGATTAGAAGCAAATTTCTGACTATGAGGATAGTCAAGCATTAGGAAGACTACCTAGAAAAGGTGTGGAATCTCCATCCATCCCTGGAAATATTCAAGAGTTTGTTGGACAGACACTTGGCTGAGATGGATTAGTCAGGGATAATCCTGCCTTGACTAGGGGGCTGGACTAGATGACTTTATGATCTGCATGTACATTTTGTTTATATGAGTAAATGGAGCCACTTTTCCCCCCAGCACCACACAGCTTCGTTTTATATTGCAGTAGTGCCCAGATGCCAGCCAAGAGCAGGGCTGTATAGTGCTGGATGCTATGCATATGTGTATGCATGTGCACATGCCGCATTGATGGCAATCCCTGCCATAAAAAGCTTCCCTTTTGCTTCCCATTGGTAAGCAACAGTGATTTGACCTCCTACCATAGGTTTGACAAATACTGGATTTGCAGCTGGTAACTACTTGGAGGTTTGAGCCATATCAGAATATGTTTGCTCACAAAGGGAGCAATTTCTCCTATGGACAGCCGTACTGAAGCATGAGTAAAGGATTCAGTCTGGCCTTCTGTGTTTTACTGGACTCCTGGTCCACTAGGCAGGGCAGTGGGATTCAGCCATATGTAGAAACACATTTATTAGATAAAGTCAGCCTCTCATAAACCTCACTATGTCACAGGCTGGGACTGCTTGAATGGGTTTCCAAATCTACCTATGGGAAAGGGCCCTTTTCTGGAATCTACCACCCACTGTCCTAACTGTAGCATAAACCATATGCCCAGGGTGTCTTAAATGCAAGCACCAAACCTTGCTAACCTCATCACCAGAAGCAAACTTTCTATGACCCAAACCACACCAAATGGATCCAGACCATGCCAGGACAAGAAATGTAAAACCTAACAATATATCTCCACTAGTCCCACAATAATGACACCCACACAACATTCCTGGATCTTACACCTGTACCTCCAGAAATGTAATATATGCCTAGATGGAAAATATGTAGGAGAAACAAAACAACAACTATGTACCAGAATGAATACACACTGAATATCCATCAGAGGACAAAAATATCCAACTACCTGTGGCGCACTTCTCACAAGACAATCACTCCCTCTTGGATCTCTGTTTTACTCTTCAAAGGGAACTTACAAAATACCTTCCATAGATGAGCCTACGAACTTCACTTCATAAATCTACTGGATACAAAAAATCATGGCCTCGACATTGGATTTATGACACATTACAACCTGCATGACATGTTATACACCAAATAACCTGCCTTCTTGCTGACAACCTGAATTCCTTCATACCTTTCCCTCCCCTTCTCTCCCCTCTTACCCTATCTCTACCCTTTGTCTTCCAAACTTCCACTCATTTACATCTTCACAGACATCTGCTTACCCTAGCTTCTTTTCTATTTTGGAGACCTCAGAACAACAGCAGAGTCTCACAATGCCTGAGGAACAGTGTTTGTGCCTGAAAGGTTGCAAAGAACTTTTCCCAACTATTTAGTTAGTCTAATAAAATATATCACATCTACCCAAAGAATCTGGGTATGCCTGCCTATGTCCTTAGACCAACACAGCTACAACCAACAACCATGTATCCCATAATATACTCAAGTGTAAAGTTTGCTCTAGGAGATTTAGACAATAGATTAATAGATTTCTAAATCCTGAAGGAGACCTTCTGATAATCTGGTCTGGCTTCTTATACTACATAAGCCAGAGGATGGACCTCACCCAGGTTTTCTGCATAAGGTCCACATTTTGGAGTTCAGCCAAAGCAATGGCTCTCAACCAGGGTACCGCAGCACCCTGGGTGCTGTGAGATCCTTTTAAGGGTACTGCAGAACACAAACACCTATGTAAGATTCATAAGATAAACCAAGAGATTTCAAATAGGAATCCAAAGTATCAAAAATAGTCTGACCTGTTGTACTCTTTCTGAGTTCTTTGCAGCAGAAACATTTCTCTATTATTTTTTTTTAGTCAAAAAACAAGTGAGAGCTAAGAGCTGCCATTTTTTCAGGGGTGCTTTGAGTCTTATAAGGGGTGCCTTGAGTCAAAAGAAATTGTGAACCGCTAAGGTGAAGTATATAGGGGCTTTTACAAAGAGACATCCAGTTGTGGGAAGTCAGGAAAGTCATTTCAGCGTTTAATCACGCTCCCTGGAATAAAAGCTCTGCCTTATTTCTATCCTGAATTCTTATAGCTTGGGGGGGGTCTCACTAGTGAATCCTCTCATACTGCCCAAGAGCCCTCTGCTCTCAGATATCTTCCCATGTAGGTTGCATGCCAGCTGCAATCAAGTCAACTCTTGAGTTTTCTTTGATAAATTAAGCTGAAACTTAGCCAACGCTTCGGTTGTGAGTCAGGGCTTTCAGGCCTCATGCTCTTATTCTTGCAACTTTTTTCTGAACTCTTTGCATAGTTTAAGAAGTACCTTGTGAGTCAGCAAAGGTATACTTAAGGCAAAACAGTAATGAACTAAACTCGGTGCAGCTAATGAACTTGCAGTTGTTGCTCATGGGGAAGAAGAACCTTACGCTACCTGACGCCTGTTCTATTTTGACCTAAACAACTGATTGTGCAGATGAGAGGTGGGAGGAGAATGGGGTAGTGACTCAGTGATATGAGAAAAAGTGATGGATGTGTGAAGGAGAAGATAATGGAATCCAGAGATATTAAGAGCAGAAGGGAGCACTGGAGTTTTAGAGGAGATGTGAGTCTGTGAGTAATTCTAAATGATCTGTGTCAGGAAAAAATATCTGTGGAAGCAAACATAAATAGAGACATCACCTCCAGAACTCCAGGCTGTTGACATGAGTATTTCAGGTACTGCCATTCTCCCAAAGCAGCCACCAATGCCTGAAGGCAGAATAACAATTCCAATGCTGGAGTATTATCTTGTTGGGCAGGTTTCTTTGATTCATGGTATCCAGACTGACCCACATGCTCAGTCTGCCACAGAAGCTCTAAGCAGGGAAGGGGCAGTCAGGTAGAGAAACACTCTTTATTTGAGAGGTGGGGGCTTGGGCAGGGAACAGAAAATCTACCATGGCCAAGACAGTGAAGTCTAACAAGGAAGGAGCTGATGCAACCACACTCAGCCCAATTCTTGATTCTCTTAGCTCGTGAGAGTGCTTCCTCAGTGGATGAGACATACCATCAGTCAGAAAGTGACACCGCCC